TAGACGTCCATTTCATAGCTTTTGTTGGTCCGGACGAAATTGGGTGTCTACACTCCTATCATAAGAAAAGACATTGAAGATAGACGAAACAAACTTGTGAGCTAGACTCAAAGTGTTGCAATGGTCATCTTTTCCAAAACTACTATATAAAAAGATTCAAAGCTGAAAAATACAAGAGACAATATAGATAAGAGATATACAAGAAAAACACACTTTGTAAATGATACTTGTGTATAAACTTCATTTTTTCTTATACAAAGTTTATTGCACTATATTGCTTATATAACATCTAAGTGAGAGGAAACAACATCTTCGTAACTTTTATAATCATTGTTATATGGTTAAACCTAGAGAGACTTATTTGTAAAACAATATTAGGTTAAGCTTGGAGAGGCTTATTTATAAAACAATACTTGGTTGAGCCTGGAGAGACTTGTATGAAAAAAAATACTTGTTTTTTAAGCTTGGTGAGGCTTTTTGTGAAAGAAAAAAAAACACTTGGGTCGTGTTTGAAGATGTAAGTCAAAGAATACTTAGCATTAAGCTAAAAGTGACTTGTTGAAAAAATACTTGTATCTTTCTTTACAGATAGTGAAATTCACTCTGGTTAAATTGAAAACTAGAAGTAGTCTCAATAGTTAAGATAAACTAATATAAAAATACTCAATATTCCATTTGACTTCTCTTCGCACTCCATCTGACTAGCGTTTATCTTTTCTCCACATGGATCCCTTTTCTAGTGTTTATCTTTTCTCCAAGAGTAAGTCTACTCAATAACTTATGTTCTACATCAAATTTTAAGAATCCAACCATTAAAATAAAATTTGTTAATGTATATATTAAGTATGAAAATTTTAAAAAAAATGAAAATCATATGATACTTCATTTTATAGATTTAAATCAATGTATAAAATATATTTATTATTATCCTTCAATTTGAATTAATGAAATGAAGCATCATATGATTTTCAAATTTTTTAAGAATTTGCAGAATTGATCTATGCACTAAAAGCTATTAATTTAATAGTTGGATCATTAAAATTTGACGTAAAGCATGAGTTATTGAGTGGAGTAAGTCTTATAGACTTACTCTTGGAATAAATATAGTGAACTTAGTCTTTAAGTAAGTGGATCCCTCTTCATATATATATATATATATATATATATATAAGCCACTTACCTAATCTATATTATTTGTAATCGACTTAGTTGATGAATGAGTAAACAAAAATTAATAGAAAATGAAAAGAAATAAATCAAATCTAGTAAGTAGTCATTTTGAACTCATATAAATGTGAATTTTGTAAATCCAATCATTAGATTGAAAATTCTTTACTCTTAGATCATATATACAAAATTTTATATTAATCTAAGATGATTTGACACTTTATTTTTATAAAACAAAATAGACGTAATATATTCATTTCAAAATACATTAAAATATGAACACTTTGATTACCTTCAAGTTGTTTCTCAATTTTAACAAAATTTGATATAAACATATAAAATGATATATGAGGGGGTTATAATTACACCGGTGTAACTTTTACTAAGTATACACCTCTCAATAACTTTATATTAAATGTGAATTTTATAAATCCAATCGTTAGATTGAAAGTTCATATTACTTTATAAGTGTATATCAAATTTTGTTAAAATTGAACAACAATTTGAAGGTAATTAAAGTGTTCATATTTTAGTGTATTTTGAAATGAATATATTACATCTATTTTGTTTTATAAAAATGAAGTGTCAAATCATCTTGGATTAATATAAAATTTTGTATATATGATCTAAGAGTAAAGAAATTTCAATATAATAGTTGGATTTACAAAATTTACATTTAATATAAAGTTATTGAACAGTGTAATACTTAATAACAGTTATACCGGTGTAATTATAACCCCCTACACACACACATATATATGTGTGTGTGTAGGGGGTTATAATTACACCGATGTAACTTTTATTAAGTATTACACCATTCAATAACTTTATATTAAATGTGAATTTTGTAAATCCAACCGTTAGATTGAAAGTTCATATCACTTTATATGTTTATATAAAATTTTGTTAAAAATTATGAACAACTTGAAGGTAATCAAAGTGTTCATATTTTAGTATATTTTGAAATGTATATATTACATCAATTTTGTTTTTATAAAAATGAAGTATCAAATCATCTTGGATTAATATAAAATTTTGTATATATGATCTAAGAGTAAAGAACTTTCAATATAACAGTTAGATTTACAAAATTCACATTTAATATAAAGTTATTTAGCGATGTAATACTTAGTAAAAGTTACATCAGTGTTATTATAACCCTCCTCTCTCTCCCTATATATATATGTGTGTGTGTGTGTGTGTGTATGTATGTATCTATGTATCTATGTGTGTATGTATATGTATAGAGAGAGATAGAAAAGAGGGATCAAATTACTTCTAGAATAACTTTTGGTAAAATTGTATATGTTGAATTTTCAACAATCCAACCGTTAAATTAAAAGTTCTTAATGTATAGATCAAACCTACAAATTTATAAAAAATTTGAAAACCATATTATACTTTGTTATATAGATTCAAATGAATGTATAAAATATTTTTATGAATATTGGTCAATTTGAATTAATAAAAAAGAAATATCAAATAATTTTCAAATTTTTTAAAAATTTGTAGACTTGACCTATATATTAAGAATTTTTAAATTAGTAATTGAATAGTTCAAATTCAACATACATAATGAGTTATTAAGTGGAGAAACTTTACCAATAGTTACTCTTGAAGTAATATAATCCCTCTTCATATATATATATATTAATTACTAATTCAAAAGTTTATTACAATTCTTATTATACGTTTTTCGACATACATTCTTATTTTATCA